TGTCGGCACGCTCGCCTTTTCGGGCTCCCGACGCTCCAAGACGGCCCAAGAGGCCCCCAAAGACTGCCCCACGACGGCCCAAAACGATTAGAGAGGGCCCCAAGACGGCTCAAGAGACCCCCAAGACGGCCCAAGACGGCCCCAAGACGGTCCCAAGAGTGACACGAGACGGGGGACCCGAACCCAAGTGACCCCAGTTCGGAGTTCCGACGCTGCTTCACGACGGCACCCAGGCCTCACAACATAGCTCCTGCATACCCAATTCTCCGAGAGAGGGGGCCGGCGGCAGGGGACGAAGCCCTTCTGGATCATAACCAAAATCATCAGCATGATCAGCATCATCTTCATCATCATCCTCATCATCATCATCATCATCATCATCATCATCATCATCATCATCATCATCATCATCAACCTCATCAACCTCGTCGTCGTCGCCATCATCATTAGCGCAGCATCAGCATCGTCAACAGGAACAACCGCCGCCGCGTCCAGCTTGTCGCATCGCCCCAGAGGCCAGGCTATAAAGAGAGAGATGGAGAAAAGAGAGAGAGAGAGAGAAACAACAAAAAAAAAAAAAGGAAAAAGGGTCTGAGAGGATAGCCGCCGTCACTGGGCACAGGTGGGTCCGCCACTCATGCTGGCATGAGTCGGCGCCCTGCTCCGCCTGACCTGAGCCATGGCAGGAGGAGGAGCGGGATGAGGAGGAGACGGCGCAGGCCAGCCCCAGGGCAGGGAGCACCGAGGAGGAGGAGGACCAGTGCAAACCGAAGACTCACCGGCGATTATGGAATAAACCCTCCCTCCAAGCTCCCTCTTTATAGGCCCCTACAAGGGTTCACTGCCTCTGACGGAACTGCCTCGTTGGGAGCCAACCGTTTGAAGACCCTGGGGCGTGCCAAAACACCATTCTCGGGACTCCAACGCCACGGATCAACGTGGATTTTGCGTCGTGACGATCCTGAATCGTGCCAGAGCACCGTTCCTGGGATTTCAACACCGCAGTTCAACGTTCATGTTGCACCCTCACAAGTCTGAGTCCCTCCAAACACCATTTCTGGTACGTTGGCCATGGGAATCCGTGAAATTCTGGAAATTACGAAAACAACTGTGCGCGGCGCTTGGGCGAGAGCCACATTTTGAAAACCAACCGCCACCAATCAGTGAAACTTTGGCGAATGTTTAAAACGAACGTGCGCGGCGCTACGTCCAGAACCACGTTTTGAAAACGACCCGCCCTCAATCCTCGAAGCTCTTGAGAATGTTTGACACGAATGTGCGCGGCACTAATGCGAGAAACACATTTTGAAAACCAACCTCAATCCGAGAAACTCTTGCACAGGTCTAAGACGAATTCGCGCGGCTCGAAGGCGAGAGCGATCTGTTCAAAAAGCCCCGCCCTCGATCCGTGAAACTCCTGCAAACTGCTACGACAAAGGTGCGCGGCCCCAAGGCGATAACCACATTCTGGAAGCGATCCGCCCTCCATCTGTGAAACTGCTGCCACTGTTTTGGCTTCCGGGTCACAAATGCCGAGAAATCTCGGGCGAAACGCCCGGTCCGCCCTTTTGGCCGGCCTCGGGGTGCGACAGGGCGGAGATACTCAGGAGGAAAAGGAATGGAGGAGGAGGAGGCGGAGGCGGAGGCGGAGGCGGAGGCGGAGGCGGAAGAGGAGACGGTGTGCATACAGGGCGAGGAGGAGCCGGAGGAGGTGGAAGAGAAGGAGGAGGCGGAAGAGAAGGAGAAAGCAGAGGGCGAGGAGGAGACGGAAGAGGCCGAGGAGGAGGAGGAGGAGGAGGAGGCGGAGGAGGCGGTGGCGCCGCCGCTGCGAGGCGAGCAGGAGGTGGGTGGGCGGCAGGGCGCTCGCGGGCGCAGCCCGGCGCGCGCGGGCGGCGACCGCCTGCCCTGGGGGCCCCCTCGGACTCGGGACCCCTGGGTCCGTGGCGGGGCAGGGCGGAGGAGCGCGGCACTCCTGCGCGCGCCCGGCCTGTGTGTGTGCCCGGTCTGCGTGCCTCCCGGCCTCCCTGCGCCCCGCCTCCCTAATTTGAAGCTGCGCGTAGCCCGCCTGGCTTTCAGCGGGAGAGGCTCGCGCTCGCCCCGCCGACCCAAAAAACCTGTGTGCCTCCCGGCTGGGTCTCGAGCCTGGCGGGCCCCCTCGAGGATCCGGTCTCGAAGAAGCTCTGGAAGTCTCTGGAAGGAGCATCCGAAAAAGCTTCTGGAGAGCTGCTGGGCAGACGTTTCGGGAAACGATTAGAAAAGGCCTGCTGGAACACGCCACAAGCTCAAGCAACCCGCGCCGAGGTGTCCTGCCAGAAGCCGAAACCAGCTCCGGGGCTACCCTGCGGCTCCGGCTTCTTAATCTGAAACCCTCTCAGCTCTCTACGGACAATCCCGGAATCTTGTCTGTGGTCGAGGACACCCTGCATGTGAGGCTGCCCCGGGCTGGCGTGCGGGCCTGCGGCGAGAAGATGCAGGAGTGTGCGCGTGGATCGTCGCCCGCCGTGCATCGCTGCCCCGCCGTCCTCTCTCGTTCCCCTCCTTCCCCATATCCTCTGAGAGGACCCCTCTGGGAGCGCCCGCCTACTGGGCCACCACGGCATCCGAGCACGCCGTCCAGGGCGTGCGCGAGGAGGTAGGGGGGGGGGTAAAAGGGAGGAGTCGTTTTCCTTTGGTTCACTTACATCTGTCGTGAGGTTTGGATCCTGGGGCTTCCCCTGGCCCTGGAGGGGCCCTCCTCGACCGTCGGGTTTTGATCGGCTTGGTACTCGCCCAGCAGCAAGAGCTTGACCCTTCTCTCCTGAACAGGCAATCCAATCCGATCTCTCTTCTGACCACTCGTCTCCTGGTCAGTCCTTCCTCGCCCTGTCTCGTGGTCTTGCCTGGAGAGTGGCGCTTGCGCGTGGCGGGCCCCAGTCTCCTCATCGAAGTTGCTCTGGATAAACTCGCGGCATGCAGCGTCGCCAAGCCAGCGAATCCGAACTCCTGCCCTCACGGTGGGATGAGCAACGCGGCGGATCGATCATAGCAGTACTGGGCGAATCCGAAGGCCTGCAATTGTGCCACTCACCTGCCCCAACGACCCCCCACTCCATTCAAGAAGGGGGAGAGGGTGGGGGGCGAGGGAAAAGGCCTGAGGACCCGACTCAATACGGATACCAAAGCGCAACGACAGTTTTGCGTCTGCCTTGCCGAGGGCTGGATGAGGAGATTGTGGGAAAAACGGAGGAGGGCCAGCAGGAGCGACGAGGAAATCCCCAGAGGTCTGGGGAGACCCAAAAAACGGCCAGAAGTGTTCAAAAGCCCTACCCACCTCTCCCCCTAACCCCTGCTCATCCTAGTCCTCTTCCTTCTTCTGTCACTACACTACGCCTTCCCCATCCTCCTCCTCCTCCTCCTTCCTCCTCCTCCTCCTCCGCCTCCTCCTCCTCATCCTCCTCTTCTACTGCTACTGCTACTGCTCTACTACTCCCAGCTCCTCCTCTTCCTCCTCCACCTCCGCCTCCTCCTCCTGATCCGCCGGCCCCCTTGCGGGGCCACCAGGCTGCGAGGGTGAAGATTACAGCTCCCTGTTCCAGTTGCAGCTTCCAGATTCCACTGTTACAGTCCTGCTTTCTGCTTCATTACTGTTAATTGTTGCTGTCCGCGCGAGGGATGGGAGCCCCAAACGGATTTTTTTACCACGCCCTGGGAGGGTTCTCAGAATTCCTCGGGCAGCCGTGGGACATATAAAAATACATGAGATTCGCGCCCCTGAGGCATAAACCCTCGTCAATTATAATATTCGCGTCCCCGAGGCCGGACCCCCCCGTAAATTACATAATATTCGCGTCCCCGAGGCCATAAACCATAAACCATTGTAAATCACTCGGTAATCGCATATCCGAAGCCACAAACCCTCATGCCGAAGCCACAAACCCTCATGAATTATGCAATACTCGCGTCCCCGAGGCTATACAACCTCGTAATTTGTGCAATAGTCGCGCCCTCGCCCTCTTAAATTACGCGGTATTCACGTCCCCGAAGCCATAAACCCTAGTAAGTTACGCAATACTCGCGCCCCCGAAGCCATAAACCTTCGAAAATTAAAGAATAGTCGCGTCCCTGGGGGCCATAAACCCTCGTAAATTACACCGCCGTCTCGCCTTCAAGGCCATGATCTGTAGTTAATTAGACGGTATTGGCGCCGTCGAGGCCAAGACCGCCCCAAGACGGCCCAAGAAGACTCCAGGAGAGCCCCAAGACGGCGCCAGAGGGCACCAGGACAGCTCAGGAGGCACCCAAGACGGCCCAAGAACTCCTGAAGATGGCACCAAGAGAGGTCCGACGCGGGACAACGAACCGACTTGAGCTTTCAGCCCCGCGAGGGCGAAAGAGGGCTCCAATTGGCTGCCAAGCCGCCCCAACAGGCTTCCAAGAGGCATCCCAAGAGGGCAGCCAAAGCCACGCGATGTTGCCCAACGTAGCCTCAAGCAGCCCCGAATCGCTGCTCCAATACATGGCACGAAAAGGAACTCGAGAATAACAATACGGACTTCAACAATACGTTCTGAACCTGAGTCTGCCGCTTACCAATCGCCCTCGCAGGAGGTTCCGATCTTGTTTCGCAACGGCGCAAAAGAATTCCAGCATAGCTCTGACATAGCCCATTCTGATGGAGAGGGGGCCGGCGGCAGGGGGCGAAGCCCATACGGATTTTCCTCCTCCTCCTCGTGCTCCTCCTCCTCCTCCTCCTCCTCCTCCTCCTCCTGCTGCTCATTCCCACTTTCCTCCTCGCGTTCCTCCATATACTCCTCTTCCTCCTCCTCCTCCTCCTCCTCCTCGTCCTCATCCTCCTCCTCCCCCTCCTCCTCAGCAGCAGCAGCATCATCACCCTCGTCCTTCTCCTCTTCTGCATCATCACCATCCTCCCCATCGTCAGGACGGCTAGTCCGTCGGGCAAGCAACAGGGGCTGGGGGTCAACATGCTGCCAACTGCAGGAAGCACCCGAACATGCGGCCGTCCTCCTCCTGCCGAGCAGGCACCCCGTCACTCTCGCAGCGCGCCTGCACACCTGCACCACCACCGTGCCTGGCCAGGGCCTGCCATCCTGGGCCCCGGCATGGAGTGTGACGCCCTCCTGGCCGAGGCCAGAGGGGAACCGCATACAGTCGTGGCGTTGACCTAAGGAACCCTGAATAGGGAACAAGGTCCCATCTTCCCATAAGTTAACCTTCGATTTCCTGTCGAAAACATAAGGACAACCTGAGGCAATCTGTGAAACACTTAAGGAACGCGGAGCCCCTCCCCAACGAAAAGGGTTCCTTCTTCAGGGCCCCGACTGTACCACCCCGAGGCCCAAGACGGCCCTGGCCAGGATCGGGAAAACAAACAGGCACCGATACCGCTACGCCTCGAACCTCTCCCGGGGGTGCGTTCTGACCAGGATTTCGCGGCGGACCCAGCCCTCGCATGGGGCTTCGAAAGGCGAAAACGAGGGAAGCGCAGCGGGGTCGGCACCCTTCTCATCCTCTGAAACGCTGCTGGTCGTAGGGCTGGCGTGCTGACAGCAGAGTGGAGAACGAAGCGCCCGCGGAGGAGGACGGCTGCGCTTCCACGAGCGGAGGCGACCAGGCGTGCCGTGCATAGGGCTGGCTGCCTGGCTCTCGACACCAGGCGGTCAGGACGTCAACCCCTCAGAGCTGGGCGCCGAGCCACAAAAGTGCGGCGACGAGCTCGGTGCAAAGACCGGCAGCGGGGAGTGGGTCGAGATCCCAGGGGCCGACGCCGCGAAGAAGGCGCGACGTCGGAGGAGGTGGGAGCTCGTGCGCCAGACCGTCGGACCCCACCAGCGTGCCGAACCCGTCCGAGGAGCGTCGCAAGACCAGACGCCGGTCTGCTGGGCCGCCCGCCCAGCGCACCCTCTCAAGACGAGCAAGTGTCAGAGCTCTTGCAACTGGAGGCTGGGGCGAGAATCACTCGTAGTCCTGGGCCCTCATCGCACAATCACCCGACGAGTGACAAGATCGAAGCGGTCTCCTGACATCCCCCGAGCTATCCATCTTTGTCTGATCCTGTGGTCAATGGGGACGGAGGCGAACGAGAGGGATGATAGGAGACCCCCCCTCCAGGGCTGAGCTTGAGCGTTGCCGCCACATTACGCTGAACATCCGCTGGCATCATGGACAAGTTGTCCTGCTTGGCGGTGAGAACCTGACGACGCGCACCCACCGCTGCTCATCCGCTGTGTCGCCCACGAGAGGCAGCACTCGCAGTCCAAAAGGGCCACGTCGCGAAACCGCCCCCCCACCCGAGAGGCGCGGGAGCCTTGGGAGGCCCACGAAGGGGACACGTGGGGCGATCGAGAAACATGTGTTATGCTGCATCTTCGGGAGACCTCTGTCCCATCGCACCGATATCCGCGTCGAATCCACACTCAGGAGAAGACCGCCGCTTACAGGACAGACAGGGTCCTCGAAGATGCAGCGTGAGCTCTGGGAAGCGAAATGCATAACGAGCCGCTGTTCCAAATGTTTGGAGCTTCCTCCTTCCAGCACAACCTCTGCTCGCCCGCCCCCAGACACGCACGAGGGACGCGTAAAATTCGGAGTTGAGCGCGGGCACCAGCAGCATCGGTGGTAACATGCGAAAGCTGCCGACGGCCTCACCGATCGGAACTCCGATCTAGAAGGGCACTCCGGGGATGCCTTCGTGGGAACGATTGGTGACAACCAGGCCAGGGCTGCTGGTAGCCTGGGTTGGGCCGATGATCAAGCCCGGCTGCGAAACAGCATCCTGTATTCAGCAAGAGGCTGGGTCAGGCCAGATTTCTCACAAGGATATACCCGACCCGATGCTGAATTCAACCTCCCAGGAGCTGCGACGATTTCGTCAGCTTGTCATAAACTTGTCGCCAGTCATGCCACAGGTTGTATGTACAAAAATGGGATAGAGCCCAAGACACACAAGTGCTCAGCACAAACATCCCAGCTATTCTCCCTCATCCAGGTCACCGCCGTGCGCCACGCAAGCAGAACAACCAGAAACAGCGCTGTCGCCAGAATATGTCATGACCCGCTTTTGCGTCACCGTCGAAATCGAGACGGAGATGAAGACAGGAAAAGGGAACGAGATCGACGCGAAGAAAAGCTATACATATACACACAGTGACAGAAGCAGGGGCAGCTGATGAGGCATAGTCATGACATAAAACAACAACCAACACATATTCAAAATAGACGTCAAGACTCAACTGGTGTGGACTGGGCTGCAATGGTCTGGGCAGGACTTGGCCGGCGTAGCTAGTACAGTATGGCTCAGTTCACTCCAATTCGCGGAGTTCCAGTATTCTAGACTATTTGGCGTAAGCGCTGACGACGGGATGTTTTGATCCAGAATGTATCATGCGATCATGATGTGATAACGGTGATGCTATATCAGCCAACGTGGGCCTCGAAACGGTGTGTTTTCAGCAGTGTATGTGGTACAATCGATGTGAAGCAATACATGTTGTGCAATTCACATGGTGCAGTACATGCGGCGCAATAGAAGTGGTGCAGCTTATGCGGCGCGGTGTAATGTGCGCATTTTACGTTGCGCGCTACATGAATCGTGCGATTTATGTTATGCTGTCTATGTGGTGCAATCTACATGCTTCAATCTATGGTATGGTCCCAAAAACTGTACTGTCTATGTGGGGCACACTATGTGGTGCAAGTGTCGCGGCACAATCATGCGGTTCTACCTAGATTGCGAATCACACGTTGTGCAGTATGCGACCAATGTTGCGTAATATACGCACTGCAATATATCTTTATGTATATATATATATATAGATATGGATTGTGCACTCCACGAACCGCAGTACATGCGGGCCTACGCATACTTGTGCACAGAAAGAATAGCAAGTGCAAGCTATGCGGTGCATTGTTCACCCTGCTGAAATTTCAGTTGTCAATTCCCCTGCTCGGGCATCCGGCACAATCACCCACAACTTCGCTTGCAAACCCATGTGGCGGCGATTACGATTACTTCTGTACGTTAGCTGGCGCATCGCGCTGCGGCCGCGCCAGCGTGCGCAGGCTCGGTGGCCGCTACTCTGGCACGACCGACGCGGCCGCGGTGGCAGTAACCACTGGGGATTCCCAGCGCGTCTTGTATGACGCGCGGGCACTTCAGCTCGAATCGGTGACTCGGGCGGGCGCGGTATCATGGCGACGCCGGCAAAGGCAAACACGATGATAATGTAGCGATGCTGGCGACGATGATGACGATGACGACGGCAAGGCCAATGACGACGCCGATGCTGATCCCACGGGTGACGATGATAGTGTCCACGTGACGGTGGTAACGGTTCTGGAAATTCTGGAAAGATTTCGGCATGCGCGCGCGGCCTACACAGGAGAGCGGCCCGCATGGTACCATTTGACACGGGTCGTGCCCCCCCAAGCCAGCGCGCAAGGGTGTTGGAATGATTTCGACATGCGCGCGCGAGAAACCCGCTGAGCCACATATGGTGAAAATGTTGAGAAACCATGCGTGCACAAGAATTCGCAACACCGCGCGCGCAGATCGTTCGAATATTCATTACAAAACCACTCATATGCCATATGCGTTCGGGAAGTTTGATCTTAAGATCTGCACGAAACTGGAAAGTTGTGGCAAATTTCAGCATTCGCACACGACGCCGCGCGCGCGTGGATTTTGTCCCGTTTTTCTGCGTGTACAGGGGTCGTGAAAATCATGTGCCGTTCGAGTGGTGGGAAACACGCGCGCGCGCGCGCATAACATTATGCGACAGGGACGCAGAGGGGGGAAGGGGAGGGGGGGCAGATACCAGCTGGGCTGGGACTATATGAACTGATATACTAAAACGATCGAGTGCGCAGAACAACTATGACATCATACTATTCCAAAGGGGGGCGGATTTCCCCAGCAGGCGCTGAGCAAAAGTGTCGAAAGCTCCATGGTCGCTGGCCCCTTTATGCGGGGGTTCGCGCGTAAGCTCCGACCGCCGAAGGTATCGCGAGTTGGCGTCAAACCAAGCAAATCCTCTGACCGATCTGAAGTGTCTGGAGAGGTCGGCAGACTGGCGGCACTAGCCCTGCCAGAACCCGCAGTCCCCTCGAGACTGCGCGCCAAAGCCCGCGAGGCAGGGGAGCCGCCAACCCCCACCGCAGAAGGCGGCGCATGCGCACGAGGCGTGGCGGTCGCCATCAGGGCAGCGCCAGAGCCCCGCCGCGCGAGGGCTGTCACACACGAGGGGCTTGACAAGAACAGGCGGATGACATGTATTAGGGAAGGGTTAACCGAAGGGCCGATTCCGTCCCGAATGTCCGTCGGTGAAGGCGGTAGCGAAGAATGAAGGACGACGTTGAAGGTTTGACCCTTCTCCAATGTCCGACAGTCAGTGCGTCACTGCCAGTCGGCTAGCCCATACCTGCGAGCCGAAAGGGGCAGCGGGCACAGCAGAGGATAGGAGGGGCAGGGGGTTCATTCACAGATGAGGGGGGCGTTGGCAACGGGGTTCTCTGGGATGGCGCGAATTCACATTTACAGTGCACAGGGGGGGCAGAAGCACACGTAAATGCCACCAGCCGTCTGGGCGTAGGTCGTCTAGGGGAGGTAGTCTTCCAACCCTTTCTTCAACTTCGGGGAGGGGTTGATCACTGTTCCCTGTTAAGATACACCACCTCCCTGGGCGACCGACAGCCAACCAGGAACAATGGTCACCCCCCATCACCACCCCTGTCAAAAAAAACAATGCAAAACTCACTCTGCCTCGAAATTTGGAGCATGCGCGCCCCCCTTCCCACCACCCCTGTCTCAATATATATATATATATACATACATACATACATACATACATACATACATGCATGCATACATACATACATACATACATACATACATACATACATAAATACATACATACATACATACATACATACATACATACATATGTATATATATGTGTGTGCATGCATGTATATATATATACATATATATATGAATGTATACATATTCAAGTACATATACATAAACATATACATATACATATACATATACATATAAATATACATATACGTATACATATGCATATACATATACAAATGCATATACATATACATATACATACACCTATAAATATGCATATACGTATACATATACATATACGTATACATATGCATATGCATATACATATACATAAAAATATACATATACATATACATATGCATATACATATACATATACATATACACATACATATACATATGCATATACATAAGCATATACATATACATATGCATATACATATACATATACAAATACATACACATGTACGTATACATATACATATACATATACATATACATATACATATACATATACATATACATATACATATACACCAACATATACATATACACATACACATACATACACATGTACATATACATGTACATATACATGTACATACATACATACATACATACATACATACATACATACACAAAATACAACGTGGGGCAAAGTCTTGAGTCATGTTCGCGAGACCTGCGAGCACTTTGTAATGGTTTTGACGAGGACAGCGGGGGTGACAGCATATTGCCTGTTGTGCGCAGGGCTACCATACCTAACAAAAAAATGCAAAATGCACATCGCGGCTACATCTGGATCATGCGCGGCCACCCTGCGATTACTGCCAACTGGCGTTTGACAGAGACGGCCGGAGTGGTGGCGTATGGCCTGCGGTGCGGAGGCCCACTAGACACAATGATGGGCAGTGGCTTTCGGCAAGGACGTTGGTGGCCGACATGTTTCCCGATGTGCGCTGTCACGTGCGCAGGCGCACCTGACACACCTTGCACGTGCCCCGAACGTGGCGCACCTGGCACGGCTGGAGAATGCGGCACACCTGGCGCACGCCGAGCACGTGGCGCGTCTGGCGCACCCCCGTTCCTGGCGCGTTCGGGCCCCGGGGGTGTCTGGCGCGCGTGGCGCGCCTTGCACGAGTGGCGCACCTCGCCCCAGAGTCGCGCACATGGGGTCGGTGTTGGTTCCCAGTAGCTCTCCATCCAAAGACGGCCGCTGAACATGCTCAGGCTCGGATGTTACTTATGCGTTGGGAGGGTGGCTGGGAGTGACCTGGACGGCTTGCTATACAGGGGGTGTCTTGACCCCTCCCCCGGCCCCCTCCGCTGGACCTGGACAGGGGGGGCAGCGAGGCGTTGGAACGTCCAAGATTGCCACAGACGGCTCCGATGGGGACCCCTGAGAATCCAAGATGAGCTCCAAGATGGCTCAAGATAGCGCACGACCTCCAGGATGGCTCGCAAAATGCTCCAGGAGGCCCCAAGAACCTTCCAAGACGGCTCCGAGAGGCGTCCGAAACCTCCACGGAGGCCCCCAAGAAGCCAAAATCCTTCAAACACCTTGGGAACATCAGTGAGTGCTGCTTTCTCGCAATTTCGCTCCCGATGGCCATCCGAGGCCCCAAGATGGCTCCAAGATGGCCCAAGAGAGCCCCAGGAGACCCATACGAGGCTTCAAGAGGATCCCCGGGGTACCCAAGTCTCCCTCTTCCTCCTCCTCCTCCTCCTCCTCCTCCTCCTCCTCCTCCTCCTCCTCCTCCTCCTCCTCCTCCTCCTCCTCCTCCTCGTCCTCCTCGTCCTCGTCCTCCTCCTCCTCCTCCTCCTCCGACGACGACGACGACGACGACGACGACAACGACGACGACGATTCCTCCTCCATCCTCCCCCTCTTGGGGTATATGACGGCTTCCACCGTCTTTTGCTCTTCCGCATGCTCCCCCACTTCCCTGACCACGTCAACTCTTATGGGCATCGTTTCTGGATGGGCCGGTGGGGATATTTTTTCGTCGCGGCCGCAAGCGGAAGCGCAGGCGGAGTCCGAAGTCAGCCCGGGCTGCGAGCCAGACCTGATTACCTAAGCGCGCGAACTAATGGCCGCCGAAACTGCCGCCGAGGGGCGCCGAGGAGCGACGCCGGGGACTGAAGGCAGAGCTGCAAGAGGTGCCAGGTGTGCCAGGCAGCTGAAGTGCAACCGTTCTAGGGGCGAGACCACCCGGAAGGCAAACGAATTGCACCTTGTCGCGCCAGGCGCCAGAGGTATACAAGCCACCCGAGCAAAGCACGGCATAGCGTGGGGCTGAGCAAGCAGCCCTGCGTACCTGTGTCGCATGCCAACAGTGGCAAACTCAGGTGGTTAAACAAGAAGGCTAAGCCACTCATGAGCAAACCACGTGGAGGTGCATCCCGCCACTGCAAAGCGGCAGCTGCGAACACGGCCAGGCTGTGGCAATGTCTGGGGACCAGGGGCCAGCAACATGCGAGCATGCTAGCTGGAGCTTGTCGACGTGCAAGTCGCCGGGACGCCAGGGTTACCTCACCAGGCTCAAAGGAGCCAGCACGGACACCAGTTGGTGGGGATAGGCGCAGCGTCACCAATTCCAACGCCCCAGGGAGGGAAGGGGGGTAAATCCCAGGGGGGTTCGGTAGAACGGAGACCCTTCGCGGTGCAATGTATGCACACATTGAAATTGCCAAGTCCACTGCTCGCGCAATCATCCCACCCACCCACCCACCCGCAACTTGGTTTGCTAAACGCACGCGGCGGCGATTGCAGTGACCAAATGGCGCTGGCTGGCGCATCGCCGCGGCCGCGCTAGCACGCGCATGCTCGCGCGCAGACCGGCCAGCTAGTCTAGCGCGACCGACGCGGCCGTGGTAGCGCTGACCGCTGGGGACTGCACGTATCGCAGGTCGCGCCTGCGCGCGGGCAGTTCAATGCGAGTCGGTGGCCCGGGCGGGCGCAGTATATTGGCGACGTCGACAACGGCAGACACGATGATGATGTAGCGATGCTGGTGACGATGATGACGATGACGACGGCACGGTCAATGACGGCACCGATGCTAATCACGCCGATGACGATGATGGTGCCCGCATGTCGGTGATTGCGGTTTGGGCAAGATTTCAACACGCGCGCGCGGGAGTCGTGTTACCCCAGCAAACGAGCAAAGGCGTTCGAATGATCTCGACATGCGCGCGCGAGAGGCCCGCTTGGTCGCATACGATGAACATGTCGAAGAACCTGTGCTTCCTAAAACTTGCAGTGGGAACGCGCCTGTTTGTTTTTATCGAAAATGGTGCAAAACCATGTGTTTAACACGTGTCAAAGAAAGTCGGTCTTGAAATCCAAACCAAACGGCATCAGGTTTTTGAAAAATTCCGGCATGCACATGCGACGACGCGCGAGTGTCGACGTTGTTTCATCGTTTGCAAAGAACTGTTGGACATCAATGATTTGTCATAGACGAACGCGCGCATACAATAATATTTGGCAGAGGTGAGAAATGGTCGATAACGGCACCACCTGGGATGGCACGAAGTCAGATTCAAAACGGACGATGGGGCAGAATCATCTGCAACTGGACTATCACAAGGGGGGACACTAATTCCAGCGGAAGGGGGTAGATCCTAATCTCTTGATGAGAAAGAAAACCTTTGCGACGCGGCAACGGGGCGGGGAAGACGACCACGGAGCCGCCAGACCGCCACGCAGGCTCAGGCGACGTGCGGCGACGAGGCGGCGACGGGGTGGCGACTGCGACCACGGAGCCACCAACACGTCACGCTGGCCCAAACGACGGGCGGCGACGACGCGGCGACAGGGTGGTGACGGCAACCACGGAGCCGCTAGACCACCACGCAGGCCACGCAGGCCCACCCGACTCGTCTCTACTCACTCGTAGTCTACTCTGCTGTATCCAGATGGACTCGAAAGGAATCAACTCTACAATAGTGTTACTGCCATCAATTCTACGCTACTCTACTTTACTCAGCTCCACTCGACTCTTATTATGTTCGACCGTACTATATTATACCCGACTCTACTCTACCATCTATCCGAGTCTACTCTACTATACAAAAATCGGTTATGCACCACTCAATGTTACCCTGCCCTGTCCTACGCTACCCCAACCTACTCTACTCTACTCTTCTCTGTTCTTACCTACTCTACTCGAATATCCTCCAAAACTCCCTAGTCTTCTCTACGCCTACTCAATGTGCCCCCCCTCCTACGCTAGCTTGTCTTCCACTCCTCTATTCGACTCTACTCTATGCCACTCGACTCTACTCTAACCTATTCTGCTCTCTTCTACTCTACTCTACGCTACGTTAACCCAGTCTGCTCTAGTCTACTCTACCCTACTCTACCCTTCTCTACTCTAGTCGGCCTGACACTACTCTACCATCCCCCCTGCTCTACTCGACGCCAACCTAATCGAGTATACCCTGTACGGTTCCTGCGCGATCCTAGAGGAATAATGTACAGCTCAAGTGAGACACAAGAAGGTCCTATGCGATGCCTTGGTGAGAGTACCAGAAAGCCGTGAAACTTACGGATCCCCCGGAAGCCCTACACGCGTCCTATGAGATTCTAAAGGAATCTAAAGCGATGCCAATGAGCCGTATAGGACTCCTAGGCGATTCCTATGATATCCGATGGGAATCCTCTACAGTTAATATACATATATATATACATATACATAGCATCCGATGGGAATCCTACACGACCTATAGCGGATGGTATAGGGCTACTAGACGACCCCTATGAGATCCGAAAGGCATCCCAGATAAACCCGATGAAACCCGATAGGCAACCCAGACGGCTCGTATGAGACCATGCAGGAAACTTATGCGGCTCCTGTACATGTTCTGTGCTACTAACTCGTAATCCGATAGAAAGCAAATACACTTTGAGATCACTGTGTGACCCTATACGACTCCTACGAGACCCAATAGGGCTTCCAAGATATACTAGAGGGATCCGATACAATTCTTGTGACACCCGACCGGAAACCTGCAGGAATAGCAGCGGAAGCCATTTAGCTGAGGAAGCCGTTGGAATCAAGACGATGCGCGGGCAAGTTTGAAGGGGGGAAAGTGAACCACATCTCTATTCGCTGGGTTGGGACATCTATAGACAAGCCGATTGTGGGAAAAGAGAGAAAGAGAGAGACAGAGAGAGAAAGCGAGAGAGAGAGAGAGAGGCAACGGTTCGGGTAGAGACGCAGAGAGGGATAGGGGCACTGGTAATAAAGTGCGATGGCAGTGTGTTGAGGCATGTAGATGTAGATAAGGAGAAAGAGAGAGAGAGAGAGCGAGTCGACGATTCGGGCAGAGACGCAGAGAGAGATAGGGGCACTGGTAGGTAAAGTGTGATGGCAGCGGATTGAATCATGTACCTGTAGACAAGGAGAGAGGGAGGACGAGAGAGCGAGAAATAGAAAAAACGAATGCGAGCGAGAGAGAGTGAGAGCGAGATGGCATCGGAGTGCCGGAGTGGTAAATTCTATACTAGATATGCATATGTGCATGCAAGCACAGCTAACTCTAATATCACAGAAACAAAAAATACCACATGAACGAAAAGAACGACGCAGGGTGGTGGGCGCCACCTCCTCCTACTCCTCGTCAATCCCTCCTTCTCCTCATCCTTCGCATCATCGTCATCATCATCATCAGCGTCAGACTGTTCTGTTCATCATCAGCGTCATCATCATCCTCATCATCACCACCACCATCATCATCATCATCATCATCATCATCATCAAGAACCTCGTCATAATAATATTCATTGTCATCTTATGGTCACAATCGCCATCATGATCATCATCAGCAGCAGCATCAGCTTCAGCAGCAGCATCATCATCAGCATCAGCGTCTGCATCAGCGTCATCATCGGCAGTATCATCATCATCATCATCATCATCAGCAGCATCAGCAGCATCATCATCACCACCATCATCATCATCAGCATCCTCATCCTCATCATCATACTAATCCTCATCATCATCACCACCATCATCATCATGATCATCGTCATCGTCATCATCATCACCAACATCATCATCATCATCATCATCATCATCATCATCATCATCATCATCATCATCATCATCATCATCATCATCATCATCATCGTCATCATTCGCAGCAGCTGCAGCAGCAGCAGCATCACCATCCTCAGCAGCAGCAGTATCATCATCGTCCTCACAATCCTCCTCTTCTTCCTCCTGGCGCGGGGCACCAGCTGGTAAGGAATAATACCAGCTGGGGGGTCCGTCGCGACCCGGTCCAGCGCCACCCTGAACATCGCCTTCCACTCCTGGAGCCCGCGTGGCACGAAGAGAAGACTCCTCCTCCTCCTCCTCCGCCACCTCCTCCTCCTCCTCCTCCTCCTCCCTCTTCCTCCCTCCTCCTCCCTCTTCTCCTCCCCCTCCTCCCCCCTTCCTCCTCCACGAGGTTCGAAGATGAAGCTTTCTGGACTTGTTCGCTGGCTCGAGACGTCGGAAGCCCCCCAAACGCCCCTTTGGGGGACCGCCAGAGGCCTCAGCGGGGACCTCTGGGGGGCCCTCTCGCTCTCGGCCTCGGCCCTCGAGGCCGCCCGAGGGTCCGGGGCCCAGGCTCTTCTGGACGCGGCTCGCCTCCCGTCGGGCCCCGCGGCGGGGCCCCAGGAGGCACCTCTCTCCTCCTCCTCCTCCTCCTCCTCCTCCTCCTCCTCCTCCTCCTCCTCCTCCTCCTCCTCCTCCTCCTCCTCCTCCTCCTCCTCCCTCCTCCTCCTCCTCCTCCCTCCTCCTCCTCCTCCCTCCTCCTCCTCCTCCTCCTCCTCCTCCTCCTCCTCCTCCTCCTCCTCCTCCTCCTCCTCCTCCTCCTCCTCAGACCCCCGTGGCGCTGCGAAGAAAACACGACGGGAGGTTTTCGCTATGTTCGGCATCCCGGGGCCCCTCTCGGGCCTCGGGACCGTCAAAAGACGACTCGGGATGAAAAACCGATCCCCGGGATGGGGTCCGGACTTCGGAGGGGCACGTCATGAAAGAGTCATGACGTCGGGGGTCTGTCTGGGTCCAGGCACGAGCAAGCCGAACTGGGGCGGGCCACTGCAGCGGCCGGCTGGAAAGCTTGACGTGAGCGAACGATGCCACCTGAGCCGGGCACGCACATGCCACAAGCACTCTACAGGCGCGTCGCCGTGTGAGCAACTCCTGGCCTTAGGTCGGGCATGTCCCCCTACAGGCGGATTTTGGGCCCGAAAAAAAAAAAAAAAAAAAAAAATGACAAGAAAATATTCAAAAATCGTCCCCTGACTATTTTTGGACTATTTTTGAATATTCCTCCTGTAGAGGGACAGGTCCGACTTTTTCCTGGCCTCAATCGCGCGGATCCGAAGAGGACGGGGAGCCAACCTCAGGGGGTCCGAGCGCGGCCCCTGCGCAGGTGAGCACGTGCGATCGCCGTGCGTACCGGGGCAAACTGTGAACAGCACGATGCCAGAACGCAAGCACGCCTCGATGAAGACACAAGCGAAGGACTGCCGCTCTCTGCGCTGCTGGCTTTGGCGCGGTGCGGCACCGGCTGATGCAGCACCAGTGCTTCCATCACCAGAATCCTCATCGGCCCTCCTCCCCACCGTCATCCGTCTTCTCCTGCCCCTCGTCCTGCATGCTCTCCGCCTGGACCTCCTCGTCCTCCTCGACCTCGTCCCCCCTACTGCCTCCTCAAGCCGATGATCCTCTTACCCCTCTTCCCTCATCCCGCCTGCACCGTCCTCCCGCCTCCCTCATCCCGCATCCCTCCCCAACCTCCTCTTCCTCCTCCTTCTGCACCTCATCCCTCTCATGCTCATCTCATCTTTCCCTCCTTCCCTCCTCCCAACGTGCCGTCATCCCCCTTCACCATCATTATCATGGTCCCTCTGCCTCGTCCCCCACCCACCCATCCCACCCTGCTTCTCCAACCTCATTGTACATCCGTTTTTTCCTCTCCTCATCTTCCGTCCTTCTACAAAATCGTGCCTCCCTCTGACCTCCTACCTCCGCCCTCTTGCCTCCATCCTCCTCCAACGCCTTCCTTCTTCATCCACCGTCTACCTTTTTTTGCCGTCCTTCTGGCCCTGCTCCTTTTTCTCCGTTCCCCCTTCCCCCTCCTTCAAAATCCACCCCGCGTGCAACAGTTGCACGTGCTGAGGAATGTGCCATTTCATAATGTGGCTTTCCCGGGCGTCAAATTGTATGACATGCGTGAGATTATTCCGCGAATCCACGGATTGTGGGCAGCTTCTCGTTTGACACCTCCCTGGAAATCCGCCGACCCTGTCGGCGTGTGTGAGTGGCTTGTCCGTTCAAGTCGTCATCTCCGTCATTCGTTGGTCGTCGTCTCTGTCGTCCCCCTTCCCTGCCTCCCCCCTTTTCCCTGGGCTCGTCGAAACTTCCCCCTTCCCCAGGAACCTCCTCCGCGCGCCAGCCAAAGCAAAGTTGAGCAACGTCGTAATTGAGTCGAAGGGAAGCCCCTTCCCTTCGATCCCTCCCCCGCCGGGGGGGGGGGCCGTCCCTGGGGGGGGGGTCAGACGCCCCTGGGAGTCCAGGAGCCCAAAGAAGCCCCAAGACGGGCCAAGAGTGTGCCCCGAGAGGCCCCAAAGACAGTCCAAGAGAACCCCGAATCGCCGAACGATCTGTCCAAGACGCCTTGACGGCCTGGACGGCCGAGAGGCCTGCATAGCGCCCCAAGAAGTCTCCAGGAGCTTTCCCACGAAAGCCCCAAAAGGCAAAAGTCATGGATGTCCCATGAATTGTTGGAAGACTTTGGCGTGCTTGCCTCTTCCGCTTCCCGACGCGCCAAGACGGCCCAAGAGGCCCCCAAGATCGCCCGAGACGGCCCAAGAGGCCCCCAAGAGGGTCCCCTAACGGCCGAAGAGGGCTCCAAGACGGCCCAAGACGCTTCCAAGACGGCCCAAGAGGCCCCCAAGATGGCTCCAGGAGAGTACCCAGACGGGGGACCCGAACGGACATTTCGAGCTCTCAGCCCCAAGAGGCGCTTGAGGCGGGTCAAGCACAGACGTGACACTGCATGGTCCGTCAATCCCGTTTGGCCAACATAGGCCGCGGGGAGGGCGGAAGGCTCGAGGCTCGAGGCGGGGAGGCCACTAGCAGGCTCGAGGCTGAACGAGCGCAGACGGGATACTGCATGGTCCGTCTGTTCCCTGTTTGGCCAATGGCAGGCCGCGGGGAAGGCGAGAGAGCCCGCGCCTTAGAGGCCAGCGGTAGGCTTGAGGCAGATTGAACATGACGGGACACTATAAGGTCCGTCACATGCACTGGCCAATAGTAGGCCGCGGCGCGGGCAGAGGAGCCCTTGCCACAGAGGCCAGTAGTAGGCTTGACCCAGATCGGGCACAAACGAGACACTGCATGGTCCGTCTGTCCCCCTTTGACCAGTAGTAGGCCGCGGGGAGGTTGAATGAGCCCTTACCTCAGAGGCCAGTAGTAGGCTTGAGGCGGAAAGACCGCGACTGGACACTGAATGGCCCGCCCTTCCTTTATGGCCGGCGGTAGGCCTGTGCGACGACCGCGAGGAAGAGGGAGTCCGCAACCCGTTTTGTTGGAAACTGCGAGCGCGCGCCCCGACGCTCCAGCACGCCCCCGCGCCCAAGCGCCGCGCGCGCCGCGCGCCCCCGCGCGGCGGCGCAGAGGCTCCTGGCCAGGCCGAAAAGACCAGGCGGCCTCCCACTCACATGGCGCCATAGCCCGCTTGCGAATCTTCATCAGGCGAATGTTACCAATGGGCACTTGAGAGAAGCCCATGATTTGTCGGCGACCATCGAGAGGTAGGCCGGGCGCTGCTCGGTCCGGGGCGAACCGCGCGTTCGCCCTGACCACCTCCAGCTCGCCTTGCCTTCCGTCGCGCCACTCGTCCAGGGGCGGCGCGGGCGCGACCAGGGGCGGGCCCCTGGGCGCGGGTTACTTGGGACCCGCCCCTTCGGTCAGCAGGCACGCCAGTTTTTCCCGCGCCTGCGCCGAGCGCGCGACCACAGTCGCGCTGCGCGCGAGTGCCGCCGCGCGCGCCTACAGGCCTCGGCCAGGCTTGCCCGCCGATGCAGAGGGCCCAGAACCTCGAGACATGACAGCACGGAAACGCAGCGAAGCAGCGCCCGCGAAGCGCACAGCGAACTCCTGGCACGTGGCAGGCGAGCTGCAGCGCTGCGCACAAGCTGCGGTCGCGGCCGCTTTCGCGCGCGAGCGAGCAGCACAGCGCAGGCGCACAGACCCCTCAGGGGGCAGGCCCCTGGGCCGCACAAAAGAACAAGTTTTCGAGCTGTGCAAAACAGACGAGGGATCGCGGTACCTGCAGGGGAGGGGAGGTGGGAAGGAGATGAACCTGCGCGCGACGGACGCGAGACGGAGGCCGGCGCGCGCGCGCGGCGCGCGGCGACCAGGGCGCGCGCGCGGGCGGGCGCGCGCGGAGAGAGGGGGGGGGGGGGGGCGCCCAGCAGGAAGCAGAGGCAGCAGGAGAGAACGAGGAGGAGGGGGGGCGAGAGGAAGAAAGGGAGAGGAGAGAAGGAGCAAGAGGGAGAGGGAGGGGACGGAGAGACGGGAGAGACGAGAAAGAAAAAGGAAAAGGAGAGAGGAGGGAGACAGGAAAGGAACAGGGAGAAACAAGACTGCAGCGGGCCTGCCCGTCCTGCAGATAATCGCGGTCGCCTGCGCAGCGTCGCGGCGCGCGCTCGCCCCCGTCGGGCCGCGCGCGCACCTGCGACGAACGCCTGCGCAGCGAGGGTACGCGCGCGCGCGGACCTGCCCCGCTCGCGCGCGCCTGCCAAGCGATCCACGTACACCTGCAGGACGCGAACCGCGCGCGCGCGCCTGCTGGCCGCGCGCGCCCCCCCGCTGCACCCCCCCAAGGATTGTGCCCACGAACAGGGCAAGCCTGTGCGTCCACCATAAACAAGCAAACAAGCAAACAAACAAAACAACAAACACTCATTCAGTCCGCGGGCGCAACGCGGTGCAAGACGGCCAAGCGCTGGTCAAAGCGAGCGGCGGGATGCACCGAAGTCGAACAGACAACAAACGCACAAGCAAATACACAAACAAGCAAACAAGCAGCGCCCACCCACACACACACACACACACACACACACACACACACACACACACACACACACACACACAAACACACACACACACACACACACACACGCGCGCGCCGCGCCCTCTGCGGCATCCTGCGCCCACGACATAGAAGAGGAATACGAACATATCTGTACAGCCACACATGCACACGTGCGTCCCCCCTTTGCTCTTCTCCTCCTCCCTGTCCTCCTCTGGCGAAGACTGAAGACCACATTTCACTGCTGTAAACAATGTGGAAGGCTTGTCTGGAGGACAACCGACACAGAGGTTTGATGCGCTTCGGGGCTCGAAAAGTTGACGAACCTCGACTGGACATGCTTGCGCTGCGCGTTCCAACTGAAGAGCCACATAATAAACTCGGCATAGCCACCTCTGCTTCTAGGAAACAAGGGTATACACTGCGTTGGCTCGGCTCTTTCCTGTGTGGAAACCACCAGCCCTGCTATTCACAGCGAAGTATGGATTTCTGTTCCTATCAGAACAATCGCGACTCCTCCTCCTCACCATCATCATCATCACCATCATCATCATCCCCCTCCCCCTCCTTTCCTGGCAATAAGATGTGAATGGAAGGGTTGCGTGGTCCTCCGCACCAAGTACATGTAAAATGATTTCGTAATCCTGGGAGGAAGGGACCGACGAACAACCGCGGAGGGGAGCGCCACGTGGGGCGGCGGGAATGCCGCGCCACCTCCGACAGCAAACAGAGCACGGCAGGTCAGACACCCGACTTGGCCAAAACCGTCATCGACAAAACTGGAGAGGGGGAGAAACGGCAAAAGAGGTGAGATATAAACGGCGCGAGGAGACGCGCTGACGCGAGCTGCCAAAACGACACGACAGAGCAGCTCAGACCCCCGCGGCGGGGACGACCCGGAAGGAGGGGGAAGCGGGGGGGAAGAGCAAATAGGAGCAGAGGCATGAGGGGACCCCGGAGAGACGACGGCGGGGGCCCCCACGACGCGGCCGAGCCCACGACCGAGGACGGCGGCGACCGAGCGAACCCGCGACCCACGAGGAGGAGGAGGAGGAGGAGGAGGAGGAGGAGGAAGAAGAGGGGACCGACGAACCACCGCGGAGGGGAGCGCCGCCAGGGGAGGCGGGAACGCCGCGCCACCACCAACAAAAAGCAGGAAGCCACAGGGCCGAAGGCCAGGAGCGGCGGAAACAAAGGCGGGTGAAACACCGCCAGGACTGTGCCAGGGCGACGGATCGATGCGAGCACGGCGACTGACCGGTGACTGATAGGGCAGGCGACTGCATCGCGACGCCCTACTCACACTCGGCGAAGATATTTCGCAAGAAGCTCACGTCATGCTACCATGGGTCCAGCGCGTTGCCGCCGCACCGCGCGCAGTGAGCTTTCCAAGCTGTCTTGTTCTGGCCCCCCAGCCGTTTGATACAGGCCACGAACTGTTTCTTGAAGGCGCCCGCCAGGCCAACCAGGTGTCCAGCCGAGTCGGAATCGTCGGCTGCTTCGCGCTGGCCAGTAAGGCCTGCCGATACTGGCTGGGCGCGAGTATCAGCCAGGTGCCGCCAGTGAATTGGTAGGTAGCGCAGGAAGTCGACCACGACCTGCCTGAGGACCATTTCTGGGCGAGCTCGCCCATTTTCCGTGGATTCTGTGGTGCCAAGTCAAGAGACCCCTTAGTGTTCGCGAGCCCACGTGGAGTTAGCCCACGCCTCCCTAACCATCCGCCGAAGGTCATCCTGCGCTAAACGGGGGAAACAAGGCCTGTCCCCAGCCTGTGCCTCCGCGGCAAGCGCATCGGTCACGATTGGTGGGTCATTGGTGGGAGGCGCACGTCTGTCGTGCGCTACCACCTTGGCCTCCCGCAACGATGGCTGCCAGTCTGCCGTCTGTGACGAGATCGACAAGACAGCCAGCGCGCGAGGACTCTGGACCTCTGTTCGCGCGCCGACGTCGCTCGCAGGTGTGCTGTACGAGCTCGACGGGTGGCCGTGCACACCTGGGCCCGTTGGAAGCAGGGCGAACTCATCTGGCCCCTCTGGATCTGAGTTGCCTCCCCCAGCTCGTGATTTGATTGGGCAATGTAGACCGAGGTCTCTCTCTCTCTCTCTCTCTCTCCCTCTCCATCTCATCCTTGTCCGCTGATGAATTGGTGGGAGTTAAAACAACAGGGTTGGGCCTGGGGTCTGCCTTCCCGACACCCCGCATCGTCCATACCAAAATTCACAGCGTGAAATGAAAAAGCAAGACCTGGGTCTAGGGTGCTCCATTCTGGTTCCCCAAGGATTTCCGTACACCCCGCATCGTCCATCCCAGAGCTCTGACGAAACTGGTGGGTATGATTATCACAAGTCGGTCGTGTAGCATTGATGAGAATGATGGGTGCGATAAGATGAAAAGCGGGTAAACCGACGTCGTCCCCCTGCTCCTGCACCAGCACCCCTTCGACGCCCTCCACGACGCGAACCTGCTACGAAGCCTCGCCCTCTCCGACGTAGCTCCGCTCCAAATGATCGGGTGGAGTGACGTCCACCGCGACGACGGTGTCGGTGGGCAGGTTAAGGGAGGCGCCCAAAGCGTCGAGAGCCGCGATCTGCGCCCAGAATGCTCACACGGCTGCGCAGCAAATCAAGCTGGCGCTGTGTCTTCCACAGCTGTGACCCCGGCAGGGTCCCAGAAGGCACCCTTCTCTTTGACCTCCTCCACCTCCTCATCTGCACAGTTCAGCCCGGAGGAGGTGCACACACGGACACGCATCTGCGTCGGCGGCCAGGCAAAGGTGACTGCGCTGGCGAAAAAGGCATGAACTGGGGTACCGTTGGGCCGAATTATGCCACCAAGCAGGAGGAGGAGGAGGAGGAGGAGGAGGAGGAGGAGGAGGAGGGAGGAGGGGCACGACCGAAGGAAAATAAGGACGGGTCGGGCGGCTCGGGGGTCAGAACGCTCCCCGAGCGTGTGGCGTGGCCGGCCCCGCCGCCCAGCGAGGTGCACACACAAACACGCACACGCGCACAAACCAAAAAACCTGCGTGCCTCCCCCCATTCCTGCCCTCTGCTCCTCGGGTCCCTCATCGATCGGGCCGCCGATCCTCGCCGCCGAGGGTGCCGGAGGCATTCGACAGCAGCTGCATGCCTCCCCCCAAGGAGGAGCGAGCAGCTTGACAAGGACCAGCGCGGGTCGACGAGTGGGAGGAGGAGAAGGAGGAGGAGGAGGAAGAGGAGGCAGGTGTGGGGGAGGAGCCTACTGGTAGTTCTGTGCTGTCGCCCGCAGGTCTACTACTCTAGGCCCGCGAGGGGGGTTCTGCACTACGCCGCATTATCTTCGCAACGCTTCTCTCTGCTTAGCCTGCCAAGTTGGCCCGATATAATGTGAGTTGCTTATTTGTTTTACCAGCTTCCTGACGCAACAGTCATCCAGCCGACGTCCGTCGATCGTAAATGCGGGAAGCAAAGGGCTCAAGATTCAAGACTCAAAACGTTGCGAAGCCCGCACGCGGTGGCCAGGCCCCAAAATAAACATGAGGCGGCGACGACAACGTACGACGGCGGGAGCAGAAGGGGGAGCAGAGTGGGCAGATGAGGGAGCAGAGGAGGAGGAGGAGGAGGATGCGGAGGGCGAGGAGGACAGGTAGCGGGCACAGGATAAAGAAGCATGGGTGAAGGGGGGGAGGGAAGGAGACCAGTAAGAGTGCAGAGGACGAAGAGGCAGAGGGACATGCTTAGGAAGAACAGGAGGATAACGGAGGAGAAAACAGAGGAGGAGGAAGGGGAGGAGAAGGAGGGCGAGGGCGAGGAGGAATGGGGGCAGGGGGAGGAGGAGAGGAGGGGGACAAGGATAGGGAGAGAGGTGAGTGTGTAGAGTGGTGTCCTTCCGTTGATGACTGCATGCTGGGCCCGCGGGGCCCGTGTCCTTCGGCAGAAGGTCGCAGGGCGAAGATGGCGACTGCGTCGACTCCGCGACGTCCACCCAGGGGAAGGGCAGGCTCGCTCGTGCGGGGAGAAGAGGGAGGGAGAGGGCGCGGGTGGCGTCCTGTGGCGAAGGAGAGAGGAGAGCGGAGAGCGGAGAGAGGTGAGGGGTGGAGGAGGAGCAGGAGGAGGAGGAGGAGGAGGAGGACGACGAGGAAGAGGAGGAGGCGGAGGACGAGGAGGCTGAGGGGAAGCCAGAGGAGCAGGAGCACGAGAAAAGAGATAGAGAGAGAGAGAAGAAAAAAGGGGGAGAGGGCATGGGCCACCACGCGACCCGAATGGGGCTGACGAGTCCGAGTGAGGACGGCTCGTGGATGATGCCAAAGTGATGAGGCAAGTGACTCCTCCTCATCCTCCTCCTCCTCTTCCTCGTCCTCCTCCTCCTCCTTGTCCTCCTCTTCCTCCTCCGCCTCCTCCTCCTCCTCCTCTTCCTCCTCCTCCTCCTCCTCCCCACGGGACGTGGGGTGAATGGCGGCCTGGCACAAGACAGCGACGGCCATCTTCGGCGCAGAGGGGGCAAACGCAGAGATGCCTGAATAAACCAGCATGTTCGTCCCGTGGGCCCCTGAGGCCTCAAGAAGGCCCCGAGATCGCCCTAGAGGGCCCCGAGAGGGGCCCCCAAGAGGTCCAAGAGGGCCCCTAGATCGCTCGAGAGCGCTCCAATACCGCCCCAAGAAGGCTCCAAGAGGCGATGGTTCGCGCTCCAGGTGGGCGGCACTGATCCTCGCCTCCCCATTCCTGATCGAGCTCGTCCAACCAGACGACCCCACAAAGGCTCGAACGGTCTCAAAGTGGATACTGTCGCGGGGCCTTTTTAGGTCTACGCAAAGGATTTTGTATCATACGCAAGCCCCGAAAGCACTCTGGAGGCTGTCTGAACAGGCCTCTTGAGTCGTCGTCATCGTCGGCGGCGTCGCCCGTCTTCTCCCCCCAGACCGACGGACCACCCGCCCGCGAATATGCCGAGCATAAGCAAGAAGCCGGACGCCATCCCCCCCACCGCAGATGGTCATCGCAGAGCCAGCGGCCATCCCAAGCAGCATGACCTCCCCGGGCTACCCTCTCTCGGTCCCGGGGGCAAGAGAGTCCTCCTGCGCAAGCAAACCCGGAGATCGGACGCAGTGAAAAATCACAAGGGTCACGACATAAAAAATCACAACTGCAACTGCCGATCCCATTTTGTCCGCGGCACCTCTCGAGCTGGATCGCTCCGCGAGTCCTGGGGCCCGCGGCGGTGCGAAAAACTGCTGTCGTGATTTGTTCACACCGCCCGGATCTCGGGGTCGGTTCATCCACTTTCGCTCAAAACCTGTCCCTGATACCGCCACTGGACTCGATCCCGATCGGTGACTCGAGCTGCGTCCAGCCATGGCCACCAGGACCCAGGATCACCCAAGAGAGCCAAAACGAAACATTTTGAACAAAACATCAAAAACCAGAGAAACGAAGGCGTCGAAATCCTCCCCCGTCCTCCTCCTCCTCCTCATCCTCCTCCTTTTCCTTCTCCTCCTCCTCCTCCTCCTCGTCCTCCTCCTCCTCCCCCTCCTCCTCCTCATCCTCCTCCTCCACCTCCTCCCCCCCCTCCTCCTCTCTCCTCCCTCCTCTCCTCTTCCTCCTCCTCCTTTCCTCCTCCTCCTCCTCCCTCCCTCCTCCCTCCTCCCTCCTCCTCCTCCTCCTCTCTCCTCCCTCCCTCCCTCCTCCCTCCTCCCTCCTCCTCCTCCTCCTCTCCTCCTCCCCTCTCTCCTTCTCCTCTCCTCCTCCTCCTCCTCATCTCCGCCTCCTCCTCTCCACCTCCTCCTCCTCCTCCCCTCCTCCTCCCTCCTCCTCCTCCTCCTCCCTCCCTCCCTCCCTCCCTCCCTCCCTCCCTCCAAATTCCCCTCGCGAGCGAGCACGCCATGCACGTTGCCATTAAGCTGGGTGGGCGGTGACGCACCAGGACCGCACGCGGCGTGGTCGGTCTTTCCGTGCTCGCCCAGGCAGAAGGCAGAGAACCCGAGAACGGCATAAGCATGATGCTATCACGAGGACCCCAAACAGTCGACGTTTCCCGGATCTCCGACGACGTGATTTGTTTAATCCCGGCGCTTTCCTCTCGGCATCAAGGGCCCGTTTTTGGGGCCCCTGGACCAGCAATCACGGATCCGGAGCGAAAACTCGCCCGGGGAAGAGGTTCGGAACCTCTGGGGCCGCGAGTCGAAAAACATCAGATCGGAGGATGTCCAGGTCTCGGAGCAAGGTGTGCCCAAGCGGCCACAGGAAACCATTACCCGAGAGCCCCAGGCCCTGCGGGCGAGCCACAGAGGCACAGGACCCCCAGGGCGGGAGGCGACGGAAGGGCATCGGGAGGCCGCAAGAGGCTCAGCACGCACTGCCGGCCCCGACGGCAGGGCCAGCAGGGCGGGAAGCCGCAGGTTAGGAGTCCATGAGAGGCTATGGCGACTCATGCAGACTGCACGCAAGAAACATGCAAACTCTCAGACGCTGAACAAAACCATGTACGGGTAATCCTCCTGCTCACACACCAGGTGGCAGCGCACATGTCGGCTGAGCGTGCAGCGTTCCTCAGCGCAGCTTTCTCAAGACTGGACCGTCTCGCTTCCCCCCCCTCTGTGCGCCTCAATCCGCCACCGAGCCTGCACGGAGTGGGCGTGTTAGAATGCCCAGTTTGTTGCCTAGGAGGTTTAATGTTTTCTAGGGCCCCCCCTCCTCCCTTCGTAGCGCACGTGGTTTAAAACAAATCGTCCCCTCAGAAGTTGATGTCCAGCGCTCTTTTCAGCCTCCGCCAGGCGGCCCAACATGGCTCAAGAGGCTCCCAAGACGGCCTCAAGACAGCTCAAGAGGCCCCCATGACGGCCCAAGAGGGATCCAAGAGGCTCTCCAAGAAAGCCCGAAGAGGCCAAGCCCTTGATTATCCGATGGTTTGGGGGAGATGTTGAGGTCACCTGTTAATTTTCCGACCGCACAGTACGGCCCAAGGGGCGCCCAAGATAGCTCCAAGACAGCTCATGAGGCCCCCAAGAAGAGGGCCCCGAGTCGGCCCAAGAGGACCCCAAGATCGCCCAAGAGGCTCCCAAGAGGGTCCCAAGACTGCCCTAAAGACCTCCAAAAGGAGAGGCTATCCAAGAGAGCCCGAGGAGGCCAAAACCATTGATTTGCCTCAGGTGTCTGAAGGATGTTGAAGTTCTCGCCTTTCTGCTTTTCCGACGGCCCAAGAGGGCCAAATGGGCCTCCAAGACAGCTTCAAGACAGCCAATGAGGCCCCCAAGAGGGCCCCGAGTCGGCAAAAAAGGACCCCAACAGGGCCCCAATACGGCCCTAAAGCGCTCCAGGAGGGAGCCGACGGCCCAGAGAGGCCCCCAAGACGGCGTCCGAAGGCGTCAGACGGGCCAAGCCAATCGCCTCCCTGAGACGGCCCAAGAGGCCGCAAGAGGCCCCCAACAGGGCCCAGGAGGCCCCCAAGTGGCCCCCAAAAAGCCCCGCAAAGGCTCTTAGGAACCACGAAGAGGCCCCAAGAGGGCCCAGAGAAGCTTTCTCCTCCTGGTCCTCATGTTCTACCTCTTGCTCCTCATCCTCCTCCTCCTCCTCCTCCTTCTCCTCCTCCTCCTGATCATCATCATCATCATCATCATCATCATCATCATCATCATCATCATCATCATCATCATCATCATCATCATCATCATCATCATCCTCATCATCCTCATCATCCTCATCCTCATCCTCATCCTCATCCTCATCATCATCCTCATCATCATCGTCATCATCATCATCCTCCTCCTCCTCATCCACTTCCTCCTCCTCCTGAACCTCCTCATCCTCCGCCTCTTCCTCCTCCTCCTCCGCCTCCTCCTCTTCCTCCTGCTCATCATCATCGTCCTCCTCCTCCTGTTCCTCCTCCGCTTCCTAATCCTCCTCCTCCTCATCCTCATCTTATATTTATGTTTGATGATCCTGGTGTAGATTAGTATCAGTACTCTCAGTTCTAGTAGTAATACGAGTCGTACTAGTAGTAGTAGTAGTAGTAGTAGTAGTAGTAGTAGTAGTAGTAGTAGTAGTAGTAGAGGTAGTAGTTAGTAGTTTAGTAGTTAGTAGTTAGTAGTTAGTAGTTAGTGGTTAGTGGTTAGTAGTTAGTATAGTAGTAGTAGTAGTAGTAGTAGTGGTAGTGGA